TCCATCCCAGTTCATTCTGTTCTGTTCCCATTGATCCCAGTCCATCCCAGTAACCGCCCAGTTCCTCCCAGTCCATCCCAGTTCATTCCATTCTGTTCCCACTGAACCCAGTCCATCCCAGTAACCGCCCAGTTCCTCCCAGTCCAACCAGTTTCTGCCCTCCCAGGTGCTGGCACCATGGAGTACGAGCGCAGGTGAGGGGGGAACCTGGGGATCCCCAAAATTCGGGATCTGGGGGGAACATTGGGCAGCTCTTGAGGACTCCCAAGGAAATTAAATGGAATATTTTGGGGAGGTGACACTGGGGAGGGAGGGGACATTTGGGGGCACCTCAGGGGGTATTTGGGGATGCCCTGGGGGGGGTGAGGGGACATTTGGGGACCCCTGAGGGCAGAGGGGACTTTGGGGACCCCAGAGGGTGGAAGGAACCATTGGGGGTCCAGGATTCATTGTGCAGATTTGGGTCAGTATTTGGGGTCTGGATTAGGGGTCCAGATTTGGGGTGCAGGATTTGGTGTCCAGGATTTGGAGTGCAGGATTTGGTGTCCAGATTTAGGATCCAGGATTTGTTATACATATTTGGGGTCAGAATTTGGTGTCCAGGATTTGGGGTCCAGGATTTGGGGTCCAGAATTTGAGGTTCAAGATTTTTTCTGGAGATTTGGGGTCCAGATTTGAGGTGCAGATTTGGTGTCCACGATTTGTTCTGCAGATTTGGGGTCCAGGATTTGGGGTGCGGATTCGGGGGTCAGGATTTGCTGTCCAGGATTTGGGGTCCGGATTTGCTGCTCAGGATTTAGGGTGCAGCTTCGGGGTTCAGATTTGCTGTCCAGGATTTGGGGTCCAGATTTGGTGTTCAGGATTTGGGGTGCAGCTTCGGGGTCCAGATTTGGTGTCCAGGATTTGGGGTGCGGATTTGGGGTCAGGATTTGCTGTCCAGGATTTGGGGTCCAGATTTGCTGTCCAGGATTTGGGGTTCAGATTTGCTGTCCAGGATTCGGGGTCCAGATTTGCTGTCCAGGATTCGGGGTGCAGATTCGGGGTCTAGATCTGATGTCCAGGATTTGGGGTGCGGATTCGGGGTCAGGATTTGCTGTCCAGGATTTGGGGTTCAGATTTGGTGTCCAGGATTCAGGGTGCCGATTTGGGGTCCAGATTTGCTGTCCAGGATTTGGGGTGCGGATTCAGGGTCCAGATTTGCCGTCCAGGATTCGGGGTTCAGATTTGCTGTCCAGGATTCGGGGTCAGGATTTGCTGTCCAGGATTCAGGGTTCAGATTTGCTGTCCAGGATTTGGGGTCCAGATTTGGTGTCCAGGATTTGGGGTCCAGATTTGCCGTCCAGGATTCGGGGTGCGGCTTCGGGGGGTCCCTCCGAGGTCTGGGCAGCAGCGCTGACCTCGCCCCTCGCAGGGGCGGCCGCGGGGACCGCACGGGGCGTTACGGGGGCGCCCCGGCCCCCTCCGAGGACGGCTCCCGCGCCCAGCGGGACCACGACTATCGCGACATGGACTACCGTGGCTACGGGGGACCCCCCGAGGGGCCGCCCGCCGCCGGGACCCCCCCCCAGGTGGGTGCTGGGACCCTGCTGAGCTTTATTTTAGCGTTAGAGTTTCGGTTAAATGCGTGGGATGGCGCTTTTTGTTGGGATTTAAATGTTTCTTAGCGTTTACTTACATTATAGTTTTGTAACCGTAACGATGTTTTACTGAATTGAACGGAAAACATAATAAATGCATAAATATAACACATAGCAAATCAAAAATAATAAGATTAAAATAATAAAATACACAAAAACGCGTGTAATTCTAGCATAATGTAATAAAAGGAATTTTCATAAGGTGTTTTTAAGATAAGCTTTGCAATTAAGGAAGAATGCTTGAATTTTTAAATTTCAACTCCTTAATTACCTAATTGTAGTTTACAATGTGCACTTTTTTGTTTGACATTAAAACATTATTTAAGAGCCAAAAAGATGAAGAAAAATTAGCTTTTGTTTTAAAAGTTACTCGTTTATTACTGTATTTTAAAACAGTTAAGGTAAAGGTTTTTGCGGTGCTATATTGCAGAGTTTTATTTAAGTTTTACGTATATAATTTTAACTTTACTATTTAATAGTGGTAGTTTGTTTTACAGGTTTAGATTAGACACTGTGTTTTTGGGAGTTAGTATTTGTTAATACAAAAAAAGTGAAGCATTCAGTGAAAGGAGCTTTAACTAAGTATTTATTAGTACAGAAAAAGCGAAATTTCCAGTGAGCAGGGCTCTCACCATCGCCCTCCCTCCCCTGTGCCAGGCGTCCTACGAGACCACGGAGCCGCCGCGGAAGCGGGAGCCGGCGCGGGAGCCTCCCCGGGAGCCGCCGGCGCTGCCGTTCGGCGCCGACGGCGATTACCGGGACCAGGATTACCGGGAGGGCGCCGAGGAGGAGCCGCGGGCCAGCACCATCGTCATGCTGCGCATGCTGCCGCAGGCGGCCACCGAGAACGACGTGAGCCCCGCCCCTGGGGCTGGCCCCGCCCCTTTCGCCAGGCCCCGCCCTCGGGGCTGGACACGCCCCTTTCGCCAGGCCCCGCCCCTCGGGGCTGGACACGCCCCTTTCGACAGGCCCCGCCCCTCGGGGCTGGACACGCCCCTTTCGACAGGCCCCGCCCCTCGGGCTGGACACGCCCCTTTCGCCAGGCCCCGCCCCTCGGGGCTGGCCACGCCCCATTCCCCAGGCCCCGCCCCTTTTGCCAGCCCCCCGCCCCTCAGGATTGGATATGCCCCTTTTACCAGGCCACGCCCCTTCGGGCTGGCCACGCCCCTTTTGATAGACCCCGCCCCCTGCCGTTATTGCCCCGCCCCTCCATGCTGGCCACGCCCCTTTTGGCAAACCACGCCCCTGCTGTGATGGCCACGCCCCTCCTGCCTGGCCCCGCCCCATTCACCAGGCCACGCCCCTCCATGCTGGCCCCGCCCTCTGCCATAATGGCCACGCCCCTCTGGGCTGGCCACGCCCCTTTCACCAGGCTCCACCCCTCTTTCCTGTGGCCCCGCCCCCTGCCATGATTGCCCCATGTCCCCCCCAGGCACTGTCCCATGTCCCAGGTGACGGTGACGTGTCACTTTGTCCCTGTGTCCCCATGTCCCTGTGTCCCCATGTCCTTGTGTCCCAGGTGACGTGTCCCCGTGTCCCCATGTCCCAGGTGACGTGTCACCTCGTCCCCATGTCCCCGTGTCCCCATGTCCCCATGTCCCAGGTGACGTGTCACCTTGTCCCCGTGTCCCCGTGTTTCTGTGTCCCCATGTCCCAGGTGATGTGTCACCTCGTCCCCGTGTCCCCGTGTCCCCGTGTCCCAGGTGACGTGTCCCCGTGTCCCCGTGTCCCAGGTGACGTGTCACCTTGTCCCCATGTCCCCGTGTCCCCCCAGATCCGGGCACAGCTGCAGGCGCAGGGGGTGCAGCCCCGTGAGGTGCGGCTGATGCGCAACAAATCCTCAGGTGAGTCTCACCTGAGCCCCCCCCTGCTCACCTG